ACTAACTTTAAAGGTAGAAGAAGCAGTCACAAAGGGTTAGATAGTATAGCAAAAGTAGTTACAAAGTAGAGGGGGCAATTTTTTTAGTATTGTACAAGGGGGTTTTAGCACATGTACAGGGTTTTTTTTACTTTGTACATGGGGGTCAGAAGTTCTAAGATAGAGGAAAGTGGGCTGATCCTGTTCTTCCTCCTTCTTCTTCCTTACCTCCATGTTCTTTCTAAGATAGAGGAAAGTAAGCTAATCCTGTTCTTCCTCCTTCTTCTTCCTTACCTCCATGTTCTTAGTAATGTTGGCACTCACAAATTGGTTTAAAGTAAAAAAAAAAACCACTTAATAATATAAGTAGTAAATATTGAGAAATAATTGTAAACATGTTATACGTAATATATCTTACAAAAGATAGCAACAGCCCTAAGTGAGGAGAGAGAAGAAGAAAACACCACAGTCAGGGTGTCAGGAGTGTGTGCATCCCTGCCTGGGCTGCTGATCAAACAGCCGCAGCCCGAGAACACAATCTGTTAAATAATCAGCAATAAATTGTCTTAAGACCGAACAACAAGAGGCTGCAGAGTTTTTCTTTGGAAGCACAGCTTAGAGGAGAGACTTCACCACCACACGAGACCCCAAAGCAAACCCAAGGTTCCCACAGTTCCCGTCTCCCTGCCCCGCCCGCCTGCAGCCTCTGCCAGATGTTCTTCCTCGCCAGATGTTTGCCCATGCGGCTCACGGCTCCATCCCCCCAGCTTTAGCGCAGCTGGTAAAACACCGATTGGATTTTAAATGGTGAACATTTTGTCCTTCGTTTTCACCCGAGGCAGCGAGGCGGGCAGAGGATGGGCTCTGGGAAGCTGCTGGAGGCAGCTGGAATTTCAACAAGCCCGATTTTATTTGAGGTTGAGGGTGAATCATCTCTGCTTTGCTCCATGGGCTCCAATGGAAAAGAAAATAGTGGTTTTGTGCTGAAATCCTGACCTGCTGCACTGTGCTGCTGGGAGAAGGGAAAGGGAAGGAAAAGAAAGGAAGGGAATTAGAATGGAATGGATTAGAATCAAACAGGAGAGAGGATTTTGGTAGGAAGACACCCACAATGAGCATCTGATCCACCTCCCTGACCAGTTCAGGGCTGGCCAAGGGTTACTAGGGGACTCACCCTCTAATTATTGGTGTCATCACAGAGGTACAAAGTGCTGCTTTTAGCCAGCAGCTCAGCTGCAGCTGATATCCAAAAAAAAAAAAAAAAAAAAAAAAAAAAAAAAAAAAAAAAAAAAAAAAAAAAAAAAAAAAAAAATGTTGGCTTTGGCTCTGATTAATCCTAGTATAAATTCCTCTGGTTCGACTCTGCTTATTTAAAAGATTTTGCTTCAAACATTGACCAAAAAGGTTGGCCTGTTTATTTTCCTGCACAAGTGCCCTAAGGTTTGTATTTTCAGAATTCACAGAATGACTAGGCTGGAAGGGATCTCAAAGATCATTGAGTCCAACCCAAAACATGATGATAAAGAAAAATATTTGACCAAGAGTCAGTGGATACAGAAGTTAACACCAGGACTAATTAATGCCTTAATTTAAATAAGGAATTATTTAAATTTTTATATAGTATAATATATAATGTATAATATATAATGCATAATGTATAACATATAACATATAATATTAATATATAA